AAAAAATATATATATGTGTATGTATATGTATATATACGTGTGTGTGTGTGTATATATGTGTTTTGGCTTAAAACTTTTATTTATTTTTAGAGATGGGATTTCAGTCTGTCACCCAGGCTGGAATGCAGTGGTGCAAACACAGCTCACTGCAGCCTTGACCTCCTGGGTTCAAATGATCCTCCAGCCTCACCCTCCTGAGTAGCTGGGACCACAGACGTGCATCACCACGCTCAGATAATTTTTTTTTTATTTTTGTAGAGACAGGATCGTACTACATTGCCCCAGCTGGTCTCAAACTCCAGAGCTCGTGCAATCCTCCTGTCTCGGCCTCCCAAAGTGCCAGGATTATAGGCATGAGCCACCATGCCCTGCCTAAAACATTTTAATTTTTTACAAAAATTAGTTCGGCATGGTGGTGCGCACCTGTGGTCCCAGCTATTCAGGAAGCTGAGGCAGGAGAATGCTTGAACCCAGGAGGGGGCGTTGCAGTGAGCTGAGATCACGTCACTGCACTCCAACCTGGGTGACAGAGTGACACTCTGTCTCAAAAGAAAAGAAAAAAAATTAATTTTGACGTAGTTTCAAACTCACGGAAAAGTAGAGAGTTCTTTATATCCTTGAGCTAGATTCCCTAAATGTTAACCTTTTATCACATTTGCTTTATTCTTCTCTGTTTTTATGGGAGTGGGGCACAGTACCCTTTGAGAGTAAGTTGCGGGAATTATGGTCCGTTCCCTCTAAAAACTACATATTTCCTAAAACCAATAACATTGTTTGAAATAACTGGAGTTAGAAAATTAACACTGATACTATATTACCTCATGTGTAGGTCTTACTGGGTTCTGCTTATCCCAGCAGTGTCCTTTGTAGTTAAAAAGAAAGAAAGAAAAAAAAAGACCTGCATCCTGTGCTTCATGCAGTGGTTTATCTCCAGCCTTCTTTAATCTTAAACAACTCTTTAGTCTCTTTATGCTTCATAATACTGACATATTTGAGGAGGTACAGGCCAATAGTAGTGTCCCTTATTTCAGGTTTGTCTGATGTTTTATGTGTGACTAACAGCTCTCATGTCACTTTGTTTAAATTGCAGTTTGTTTTTGTTGGGGATTGATTTTTTTTTTTCCTACTTTAGAGCAATTTATTTTTAAATCCTTGATATTTTTGTATTGAAACATTGCCACAAAGTTGGAGACAATCTTGTTCTTATTTAATGAGCTGAATTTATATGGGTTTATTACAATTTCATGTATGTGTTGCTTTAGTAGGATCTTTTTGGTATTTTGGGCATAAAGATAACCATATTCCAGAACAGTTATCTTTTTGATCTAACTCTTCGTGAACTTATAAAATAATCATAATACTGAAACCTCCATCATATGTTCCTCCTTAGACATTACTTTAAAAAGTTACCAGAGGCCAGGCCTGGTGACTCAGGCCTGTAATCCCAGCACTTTGGGAGGCTGAGTTGGGAGAATCACCTGAGGTCAGGAGTTTGAGATCAGCGTGACCAATATGGGGTAACCCCAGCTCTACTAAAAATAGAAAAATTAACCACATGTGGTGACACGCACCTGTAATCCCAGCTACTCGAGAGGCTGAGGCACAAGAATCATGTGTTTATTTTATTCCTCTTTAGGATCAGTTCCTTTTTCTTAGGTGTCTGTTATTGTGGATTTGTAAAACAATACTTTACCTCAATTTGTTTTAGGATGTTCAAGATCCTTCAGTATTTGTAACTTTCCCTTTGGAAGAAGATGAAACTGTATCTTTAGTTGCTTGGACAACCACTCCCTGGACTCTACCTAGTAACCTTGCTGTCTGTGTCAATCCAGAAATGCAATATGTGAAGATTAAAGGTAAGTGGGAGACTGGTTACTTATGATTAGTATGGATAAGATAATTTTATATTTTGGAAAATGTGAAAGCTTTGTTTTTGCATGAAGAATAGAATTATTTGAAAAGAAGCTGACTTAGTTAGAAAAATAACCTTAAACATTTGTTTTCACTTCTAATTGAGAACTAACACAACAATCAAAATAATACAGAGATGTAAAAAGTAGAACATAAAATTTTCTTATAATTTCCCGTTTATAGTATGTTTTTCCACACCATGCCCCTGTGACAGATGAAGAATCTAAGATTCAGCGATGTGGCATCACGTCGTTATTAGTAATTGGTACCAGAACTTGAGAACTTTTTGCCTTTCAAATGTCCCCTGGTAGAGAGTTACCAGTCTCAACAAGGGCCTTTCCAAGATTTAAAAAGAAGTTTGGTACTTTGTGAACAAATACACCTTCAGGTTTGGATAGTTTTGTGGTGGTAAAAGAAAAAGAAAAACCTCATTGTCAGGAAAAAGGGTATGGCGCAGCTGCTGTGGAAAACAGTAACATTTCTTCAGAAAGCTGAATGGAATTAACACTGTGGCCCAGCAATTTCACTTCTGGGTGTTTTCCCCAAAGAATTGAAAGGAGTCTTGAACAGTTACTTGGACACCCATGTTCAAAGTAGCATTATTCTCGATAGTCAAAAGATAGAAGCATCCCAAGTGTCTCTCATTGGATAAATGAATAAACCAAATAGGGTATTTACATATGATGGAATATTATTCAGCCTAAAAAAGGAAGGGAATTCTGATACAGGCTAATCCTTGAATGAACCTGGAGGATATTATGCTAATTAAAATGAGCCAGTCACCAAAAGACAGATACTACATGATGAGGTATCGAGAAGTGAAATTCAGAGAGCAAAGACTAGTAGAATGGTGGTTGACAGAGGCTGGTAGGGAAGGGGGAGTTACTGTTATTAATGAGTACAGAGTTTCAGTATAGGAAAATGAAAAGGTTTGGGGTATTGATAATAGTAATGATTACACAAGATGGTAGATGTATTTAATGCTCTCTAAGAATGGTTACCATGATTTTTTTAAATAGTTGTATTAAAACAGTCAACTTAATTGAACAATAGCTTGTGCTGACAAGGGAAAAATACTGAGAAAGGAATGGGAAAAAGATTAGGTATCAGAAAAAAGGTACAGAGGGAGTTTTTTATTTGTTCTTTCCTGGGAGCAAATAGGGCTAAGAGTTGACCTGCTGGAAAGAGCTATTGGCCACAAAGAGACCTGGCTCAGGTGTCTGCAGCTGCTTCTCTGGAGCAAGGACAGTCCCATCTGCACAATTTCTCTGTGTCACTGGTGGGTCACTGGCCATTCTACAGTGAGCTTGACAATCTCAGCAGCCATCTGACTGAGATCTCAAGACACATCACCCATCTACCTGTGTATAACTCTTGTGCTTGACAGACTTTGTATCTGAGTTTTATCAGAAAATGTGGGCTCCACTTACAATGAAGTTCCTGTGAGGTCAGAGCTAGGGCGTGGCAGCCTTATTCGTAGTAGTTTTTCAATAAATTGCAAAGGCTTTTGCAATGACCCATAGAGACTTATAGTGAACTAAATATATGACATAGGCTGTAGTAAATATCACATATGTAATATCATAACTTACGAGTGAGGGTTTAAATTGGCCTAGATTTTCAGTATCAGAGTTTTAATTGTTCATACATTTGCTCCAGCTTTTCTTTTCCTAGGATGTCCCAGATATCCTCCAGAAAGACTTACAATAAGGGTACACAGATACATCAAGGACATTCATTGTCCCAGTATTGATAGTAGTGAAAATTTGAAAACAGTTTAAGTGTCTGTCAACTTGTTAGAAATAACTCATACCTCTGTAAAATGGAATCCTATAGAGCTCTTCAAAAGAATGAGAAAAGTCTGTATGTGCTAATACATGGAAGGATGTTGACAGTTTATTAAGTGAAAAGCTGCAAAACCAGATAGAATATTACCTCAATTAAAAAAGTAAAAAGAACTTACATATTTACATATATGGTTTTTTTTTTTTTTTTTTGAGACGGAGTCTTGCTCTGTCGCCCAGGCTAGAGTGCAGTGGCCGGTTCTCAGCTCACTGCAAGCTCCGCCTCCCGGATTCACGCCATTCTCCTGCCTCAGCCTCCCAAGTAGCTGGGACTACAGGCGCCAGCCACCTCGCCCGGCTAGTTTTTTGTATTTTTTAGTAGAGACGGGGTTTCATTGTGTTAGCCTGGATGGTCTTGATCTCCTGACCTCGTGATCCACCCGTCTCAGCCTCCCAAAGTGCTGGGATTACAGGCTTGAGCCACCACGCCCGGCCTACATATATGTTTGTTAGTATATACATAGAAAAATATCTGGATCAATAGATACCCAAATGAGAATGTCTGAGAGGGGATGATAATATGTGGCACTTACTTTGTGAGCTACTCTGTCAATGTTATTTTTAAACATTGACATGTTTACCCTATGAAGGAAAAAATAACGATTTACTTAAAATGGATATCTGAGCAATAAATAATAACTGCCGACTGCCTACGTGCATTTGATGTTTTTGTCGTTTTCATGTTTGGGAAGCAGTATACCGTAGTGTTCTTTGCAGTATTTCTCTGTGA